TTTCCTCTCTTGATTCTGACTCTCCTGTTGTCATGAAGTGCTTTGTGAAGTGGATGATCCTTCTTGCCCATTACACTGATATACATCTTTTCCTGAGCTATCCTATGGCGTACTCTGATGCCACTTATACAAAGTCAAAAGGATGCAATGTCACCATCTTCAAATGTGATCAAATTATTGTTCAACAACTTGACCAGGACTAAAGTTGATGAAATAATATGAGTAGTTCAAAAGGTCTGTTGGAGCCCGGTCTCAGGTTTATATCATTACCTTACATATCAGTACAAAAGTAATGATTACCAGTGATTCATGGGACTTTATAGGACTGATTTTCAAAAATTAATTTCTTATTACTCACAATTTCGGAAAACTTTCAAAAGGCACTTCATTCCCCATCCAGACACGAGGTTAATACCTTCGAGATCTATATGATGAGCCCTTCTGCTTAAGTGGCAAAGGAGGTAAGACGATTTGACGAGCAGGAGCTCATTATGCCTTGTAAAGCACAAAAACCATAGCGACAAGCCCTGTCCATGATATTTTGTTTTCACTGTACTATTTATATTAGATACACTGAGAGAAACTAATTGTGGTATTCAGATCCAGTGATAGTTTTTTCACATATGAAAAGAATCTTTCATTTTTAGTGTCAGAAATATTCTTACAAACCGGATCTAGTAAAAGGCAATTCACTGCTTAGTCAAGAGCTTTCCTTCATTCCTGGCGATCTAAAATTGTGCTTGGTGAAGTATTAATTGATCTTGCATCATGAAGAGATTAATCCCTTGACTGCTAACCATAAGTCCACGGCGTGTGCTAAGGAAATTTCCACAGTGGCTGTGTATGACACAGTCTGCTTTTTGAATGGCTACACCTCGCTTACTTTTAGGGCTAGATTTGGAAAGTAGGCCTATATGTCAAATAAAAGAAAAATCAACACACAATCCATTAGTGTTACTTATTTTTAGGTATAAGTTTTCTGTATAAGAATTTGGCAGGTGAAAGTGAGATTTTTAAAAATTCCATTTCCGTATTCGAGATCCCTGTCATCTCGGAGACTAGATCTATGACAAATATTTTCGTAAGATGAATTGAAATCTTTGTCACCACTGTCTGCATCTCGATAAATTTCTGCAATAACCTGACCCGTAGACTTAGTGAACCTTTGTTAAGCCATCGTGGCGAATGAAGATTGCACGCAAAAACTTCTGAGAGGCAGACTGACTTCGTCATTCACACACAACACACTACACACCATGTCTCTCTGTTTTAGCTACTACATTCGAATCCCTGGACTAATAACCTAAAAATAGACATGATCGCTTCGGCAAGAGGACAGAGAAAACCGGGATGTAACTCTTGTTATTCAAAACTGTATACAAGTTGTTACTCAAAACTGTATAGAAGTGAAGATAGGCAAAAAACAAAAAAGTTTTTATTTCAGGAGTACCAGGTACACCCACAGTGCACATGCGAGTGAATTGTTAGGGTGTACCAGGTATAGCTACAGGTACGCCCACAGAGCAGGCAAGGGAAAAATATTTTTTACAGAGCAAGACAAGTATTGATACTGCATCTATAAATCATTTTTTCAAAAACAAACATCTTCTTGCAAGAACATTTACATAAATGCAATCTGTAAACGACTTTTTCGAGAATGAATTTCAGCTAAAACAATATAGCTCCAGGAGTTATAATACCTGTAAACATTTCCATAACTAAAACAACATCACTTCCTCAATGCTAATAGAACTGGTAATAAATTTCTAAACATATTATAGGACAAAATATACTTACGGAAGCTCGATCAGGCTCTCAAACCCACCAAGACTTTCTGCCAAAGTAAAGATCTGAAATAGTCAAGAGATGACACAAATGTAATCCAACATAACGTCGGCCTTGTGATAAAACCGGCTAACCCCAGCGAGGTAAATTTTACAGGAGAAGGAAAAAACTGTTTTATTTCAAAACAAAGGCGTCTAACGATAAATCAATGCTTTAAACACCTATAAAAACACTTTACTGAAAATCTG